TCACGAATTTGTTTAGCTACTGGGAAGTAATTTGACTAACATCAAAGTCGTGTTTACCATTGCAGGAAAATTTCCATTTGGCAAGTAGGTGGTTTGTGGTTTATATCTCTTAGCAGTGGCAACTGAATGCAACAGAAATCTGTTTAGACATCTTAAGTGTCACTATGTGCCCGCTCTGTTTTAGGCTTGGGGGACTCCAACCTCGAGTGAGACATGATCCCAGCCCTCACGATGTTCACAGTTCTAGACTCAGGCTAGGGAACTGTTAGGTAGACAGGTGAGCCCAGTCAAGCGTTAAAGGGTACAGATGGTAGCAGACAAGAGTACCGGGCGTGCGCACCAGGCAGCCTGCTGGTAGTTCATTTCCAGGGTCTACAGGAGGAAAACAGGCTGTTGAGGTAAAAATGTTTGATACTTTGAGAGTTTTCTTTCATTGTAAATTAAGCATTTAAGTTGTTGAGAGTTTAATCATATTGAAAGTTCCCCTTCCTATCAGTCAGGTATTCTCATTAATGAGGCTCTGACGGGACTGAACCTGAATCTGCAAGATTGAGGACCCTCCTGAGCCGTGATGACTTCACCAGGTCAAGGCCACTTTGTAGAGGAAAAAAAGAATGTGCTGACTCACCCACGGGAGAAGTCAGGGGGTTGGGGGTGGTGGATCCAGTGTCTCAAGTGAGGGTGTCAGGGCTCTCCTTTGTTTGCGAAACCCTCAGCCGAGTGCTCTCTGTGTGCGATGGGACAGATGGCTCACAGGGGCTGACACACTGCAGTCCCCAAACAAGAAAGCGTCTGCACTGAGTGCAGCAAAGTCCCTTGGGGACTCTGGTCACCCTGGGGTAAGGGGCCCCGGACAGCTAGCCCCATCCAAATCACTTGGAACAAGCAGGGCAGCTTTGAAACGGGGAGGGATGGCTCTCCAAAGAAAGGGAGAGTGAGCTAACAAGACTCACCTCCCACTGAGCATTCTAGAGACCGTCAGGGGCCTCTGCCCCATGTGGCCTTTCTCTCAGAATTCACTACCAAGTCTCATTCTTTGTTATCCGTCACATCATTAGTACCTAAAAATGGTGAATGCTATGAAGAGTGTCCCTTATTAATGCAACCAGCACTGGCCTGCTCTGAATTCTCTTCACTTATATGCAGAGCAGGTGGAGTCAAAGTAAACTTGGAAGCCGATTCGGATTCAAGTGTTAACTCTGCTCCTAGGAACTCAACTCTTTTGAGCAAGTCTCTTAAGCCTGTTTCCTTATATAAAATGAGGCTAAGGTGCCCCTGGCATAGGGTGGTTGTAAGAGTTAAATGGATTAAGGGTGCACAGGTGCCTCAGATAGTGCCTGATGCTCAATACGCATTTACTAAAATGCAAACCAACATTTTGTAACGCCATTCGGTGGAATGGGCAGTTTGTTATCAGAGGAAGTTAAAGCTCTTTTGGCAGCTAAACAACTGCTTACAAGGCTTTGCTGGGGGCTGACCCCGCTGGGGAACCCCACGCCTCTGTGGGGAGAGGTGAGTCTTCTCTCTGTCTCAGCTGAGGGTTGTTGTGGCTGAGTGTCAGCAAGGGCAAACAGCACCAGCTTAGTCTCAGGGAAGACGATGTGAGATCTTTCAGTTGTCTTCTGGAATCACTTTGTTTCGTTTCTTTCTGTTCTGCCTTTTTATTGATGGGTCTGGGGAAGTAACAGGATCACTGTATTAATTCTTCTTCTTCTTTTTTAAACACCATTAATTCTTCAAATGGAAAATGAGACCAGTCAGTGGCATGGAATCCGAGCCGTGGAAGCTAGCATGGGTGAGAGATGTTTCAGCAGACCACGGGATGCTGAGTGAATTATTCCTGCCCCACCACGACCAACAAGTTTGGGTTTGGGATTCCGAGCCCTGCTTCCTAGAGTGTCTTACACAGTAGCTCTCTTTTCTGAGATCCAGCTTGATCATCCCTGTCCTATTCCAAGAATATACTTCACTGAGCTTTGCTTCCTAATGCCCCCACGTTGCAGTTCTGCATCTAGAGACTTATCTGAGGTCACCTTGACTGGAGTTTTGGGAGATGTTAAGATTATCTCCTGGTTTCACTTCCACAGATGGCTCATTATTGTATGTAGAGTTTGTCTAATATTTTATTTTATTTTATTTTTTTGTGAGGAAGATCAGCCCTGAGCTAACATCCAATGCCAATCCTCCTCTTTTTTTTTTTTTTTGCTGAAGAAGACTGGCCCTGAGCTAACATCCGTGCCCATCTTCCTCTACTTTATATGGGATGCCACCACAGCATGGCTTAACAAGCGGTGTGTCGGTGCGTGCCCGGGATCCGAACCAGCGAACCCTGGGCCGCCGCAGCAGAGCACGCACACTTAACTGCTTGCGCCACCAGGACAGCCCCCTCATCTAACTTTTAGAGGGCACCTTTACCCCCCTTCTTTTTGGAGGGTAAGGGCAGCTCATTGTTTCCCTAGGTACTGCCAACAAACTGACTTTCTTAAGGGACAACATCTGTACAAAATCTTCTGGTTTCAGCTCAGCTGGGGACAGATGGTGCTGTCCTGTCTACTTGAAATCACAGTCTCATTTCTGTTTCTTTTGTTCTCTGGGGAGAAAGGAACAAACACATGGATGGTATTTTCCTGTTTTGGAAAAAAAATTTTTCAGTTATTTTTTACTTATGTTTAAGATTCTTATAACATTCCATTCTTTATTTCCTCCCCATTGAACTTCCCCACAACTATGAGAATCATTTATTCTAAATAATCTTTTTTTTATTATCCTAAAAGCAATATTCATTAGAAAAAACCTAGGCAGAGACTGAAGTAACGGTTACTTTTATAACTTGTTTTGAGTTAGAGTAAAAGAAATTCTCCCAATCAGAATGATTTATTCTTTTCTGGGTTCACACATGTTTCCATTAATAATAATTAGCTACAAAACAGTAATAAGAAAACAGTACACTGTTCTACTGCAGAATTTCAGATTGATACTTTAGACCAATGTACCGAGACTCTAAAATATAGCCTTCGGCTTAATTTCATGAGATCTTGAGGCACATGTCAAGAACTTATAACTTTATTTGTATCCACAATTATGAAACTAGCTTCAAAAGCCACCAGAGACGATATCCTAAGACACAAGGGAGCAAGGGTGCTCCATGAAAACCTGTTCCTAGGACTGATGAGCTCTTCCTTCTTCGTTGTCTTCCATCTCTGTCTTCTTGGACTCTCCTCTACCTTCCTCTCTTTACCACAGTCTTTGTCTTCATTAGCACAATAGAGAACTAGCTGTGTTTTAAGTCATTATATATATAAATCTATCTGTAACAGTTCCTTGTCTAGATTGGACTGACTTGCCTTTTACAATATATGGTCCTTTAATGATTTCTTTGTTCCTGAGGACCAGTAACCCTCGGATATTCTTTAAAAAGTCTCTAGAAACAGTTCCTGTGCCATTCCTCATTCTCTGCCTTCTAGCTGACTTGCTACCTCACTTCTGCCTATTGAAATTGGTCCCTTTCTCCAAAGCCTGCCTAATAAGGCTACTTCCCTCAGGGTGTCTTTCTTCTGCACCACCCCTTCCTACCCTATAACTAGGTGTGAGCTATCCTTCCCACAAATTCCGGTCATACTCTGAACCTGTTTTATGACACATGGTAATCTGGCTTGTATTTGTGTACCTCTTTTATTCTTCTTATGTGTTATGAGCTCCTTAAAGGCAGGCTTAATGTCTTACTCTGCATCCCTTGCAGCTATAGTGCCTTATAAATAAGAGTTGCTGAGTATTTATTAATCAAATTCTAGAAATTGAATAACTATAATCTTCTTTGCTTCACTTACATACTTAATTATTTAATGAAACGTACGTTTAACAGAGTTGTAAAGTGTAATCTACTAATCAAAAACAAAATACTTTTGCTTAATAATGATACTTTGTGTTGTAGACATTTTTCTTTTTAACCTTTAGATGCATCAGTACAAACTGTACGGAATCTTTAAATAATGTTCTCATTTTTCAGAGTAAGCTGCTGAGCTCCTAACTCAGAATCTGGACTCCCTTCCCCAAACCAGAGGACACACCTCTTGCCCTTCTCATGCCAAGTCCCTCCCTTTGTGGCCCATTTCCTTTTTGCAGCTAGGCACTGAGATCTGAACTATGTGGGCCAACTCCTCTCCTCACCTTCACAGGGAGGTGTGCGCATTTCTCTCAGTGTTATATAACAGGACCAATCCTGGTAAGAGACCAGCAGGCGGCCAGATGTTCACAGCAAAGTCGCTCAGGCCACACCACACTGCCTCACTACTTCCAATGGTGCGCTGGGATAAAATTAAGGAGAACCATAAAAGCCATAGATGGAAACATCATAATTATCATTATGGAAACTGGTGGTAAAATAATAATGTGGTCATTTTACAGTATTTGAACTATGTGCCAAGTTGTCTAACATTTTTGTTCTCAGTTTGCCTGTTGAGTTATAATTGCATAACTTGAAATCATGAAGAACTGTTTCTACAGGACAAAAAGGTGGATTAGGTTTCTTTGGTGTACTCTCTATAGTAATTTTTAAGGAAGGAAATAATTTTTAAAATCTCAGTACACTTTCTTTAGCTATGGTTGGAAGTGGGATTGATCTTAAAACTTTGTGGTTTCAAAGAACGCTTAAGGGGTGAATTAATCTAATGTGAAGAAACAATAATAATCGCCTCATTCTCTTGCAGCCTAATCACAGACCAACCCTTTTTTCCAGCCTTAGGGGAGGCAGCCTTCAATAATGGTCCGTGTAAACTGATGCCCAGGCGGTATGAGTTCCAACAAGCGCTGCTCCTACAAGTTAAAACTGAGCAAAGAGCCACCTCAAAGGGCAGCCCCCGATTCAATCAACCAACCAACCCAAGCGATTGCCATGGCTCTGCTGGCGCGCATCCTGAAGGCCGGTCTGAGCGCGGCGCCCGAGCGGGGCGTGCTCCCGGGCGGCGGGGCCCCGCGGCTGCCGGCGGGGGCGCAGGCCGAGGACAAAGGAGCCGGGCGGCCGGGGGCGCCGCCAGCCGGGGGCCGGGCAGAGGGGCCCCGGAGCCTCGCGGCCATGCCGGGGCCCCGGACCCTCGCCAACCTGGTAGAGTTCTTCTGCAAGGACGGCTTCAGCCGCATCCACGAGATCCAGGTAGCGGCACGCGCTGGCCTGGAGGGCGAGCGGCCAGGGGCTGCCTTCCTAGCGCAGAGAACTCGGGCGGGGGGCGCCGGGGAGGGGGGCTGCGGAGGGGGTCGGGAGAAGGGACCCCGGGAGGGGGCGCAGTGGAGGGGTCCTAGGAGGGGGCCAGGGGAGGGGATCCCGGGAGGAGGCGCCAGGTCCGGCTGGGGAGGGGACGCTGGGAAGGGGGCGCCCGGGGGGAGGAGCACAGGGCAGGGGTGCCCGAGGAGAGGACGCCGGGCAGGGGTTCCGGGCAGGGCGCTTCCCCGAGCCGCTTGGCCCTGGCGGTGGGGACCCGGTTCCCGAGGGAGGCCTGCGTGTCGCCGGGAGGAGCGCCCGAGACGAGCGCCTCTCCGCGCCGGGGGCGAGGAGCGCCGGGCTCTGCAGGGCACTGTGCCTTTGCGTGGCCGAGGGCAGGCTGCGTTCGTTTCTGGTCCCTTTTGTGTTTTATAAATGAAAAAAAACCAAAAAACAACAGAGGTTCGGAGGTTCTGGGTTAAGCAACCCCTAAGAGATGGGGTCGACAAAGACTGAGCGGACCTCGGCATCCAGCCAGGACACGGGGTGCCTTAGGGAGAGCCCTGCGCTCCAACAGCCCCTGGAAGAGTCGGGGCGGCTCATGTTACAGTCCTCGTCTGGACCCTGAGTCCTGCACTTCCTATGCCCACGTCAAACTGCGTCTTTCATTACAAGGTGACCCTCTCTACCTTTAAGAGTGATCACATCCCTGCCCTCGCACTTGCTGTGGCATCTGCTTCCTCCACCTGCCATCTTCTTTCTCAGGGCTCCCACCCCAGCACTCACTGTTATTTCTGGGATCTGGGCCTTTTGACTTCTTCCAAGAACACCTTCCTTCCCCACCACCTACTTCCTTTTGTTCAAAGCTTACCCTCCATCCTTCAAAGCACTCCTCAGAGGAAGCCTGTTGTAACTGCCCACCTGGGTTTCCCTCATTCAAGTGTTGCTCAACCATTAAACATACATGACTGCGCAGAGGCCCTGACTACAGCTGAAGTAGAAACTTCATTAATAGAAAAAACAGGGGAGCATGAGGAGCGATTTTAATTCCACTGAAATTCCAACTGGCCCCTCCTCTCCATGCCCTACACCAACCCCACCCAGTTTTTCCCTGACGTGCTTGTAGGGGTCGAACATGATTTTCTCTCTTCTCCATGTGGAATCTGAATATAAGCTATCAGGATGTTAGTTTTCAAATATGGTAAAAAATATTTTGCTGACAAGTTCAATACAGCCCAAGCTTTTGTTTTTGTTTTTCACATTTCTCCATGTCTGCTTCCATCTACTTTATCCTCACACCATAAGCCCAAAGTTTGTTCCGCAGACAGGTTTCTTTGAGAAGCTGTTAAGACCTGTATCTCTAGCGGGAGCCACCTCTGCACAACCAGGAAGTGTCTCTGTTCACATGGGTGTTTCCTTGCATTGGCCCTGCTTCCAGCTGTCGCCCCAAACCCAGCCCTCCCTGCCGAAGGCTCCGCAGAGTGGGGTGCAAACCTGCCAAGGGACAGGCGTGGCCTGACTCACCTGGAGCTTTCTCACACGCAGCAGACAGGCCCCCCATGCTCCCAGCTTCATCCTCCTCTGGGTACCCCTTTTCCTTCACTTTCCAGATGCCTTGTTGCATTTGCAAGAGCGCTCATCCTCCTGCAACCCCTCTGAGGACCCCTGGGGAGTGCTTGATGGCCTTGGGTTGCCCACGCTTAAGCCTGGTCTGCCAGGTGTACACAGGCTGCTCTAGACTGGATAAGGTTCTAGTACAACCCTCTTGCCAAGCTCTCCAGGTTGCTCATAAGGCCCTTCTAAGGTAAGAGGAAGAGAGTTATTCTGTTAGCATCATGCCCAGCTTGCTTTCACTCGATTTATAATCCAGGATGTGAGTGCACAAGCCATCTTAGCATTCATCTGTACGGTTCAAGCTTTCATTTCACAGGTGGAAACAGCCCAAAGTGAGGTCACACAGCTAGTTAGTGGCAGAGTAGACACCATAATCTGGGTCACCAGAGGCTGTTTCCAGTGTGACAGAGCAGGAGGATCACTGGTACCAAGAGTCCTGTGTTCAAATGCTAGCACTCTACAACCACCTGTGGAGTCTTCGCTAATCTCTTATTCTCTCTGGATCTCAGTTTCCTCATCTATGCCGGAGACCAACAGTCCTCATCATCTCATGGGCTATTGTGAGGTTAAATGAGATTAGGGTTGTGGAAGGGCTTTGTAAGCTGTATTAATATCAAAAATAATAATAATTAACATTTGTAGAACTCTTTTCATGTGCCAGGCACAGTTGTAAGTCCTACATGTGAGGGACATTCTGTTATTTCTCCATTTTGCAAGTGAGGAAACTGAGGCACAGTGGGACCTAACTTTCCAAGGTCACCCAGCTAGTAAACTGTGAGCCAAGATTCAAACTCCAGAGTCTGTGCTCTTAAGGTCTCCACAAGCTCTAAGTACTACAACTGACTGTATTGTTCCATGGTCTACTGCCAAAAAGTGCTGTCAATGCTCTGTATCATCTCTCTTGTTCTCTAGACTGCCTGGTCACTTGCTCCCTTGTGCTGATTGTGCCCATTCAGTAGCTGGATTTGCTTGAGGAGTGGCCCATCTTCCAGTAGTTCCTGTTAACAGTCCTCTCATCAGTGGTCCCCTTCAGAGACCTGGAGGAACATTCTTTTGGGGTCACTTGTTTGTTAGGCAGAAGTGATCCCTTGGCACCTGACACATTCCAGTTGAGTCTGAGTGTCTTCATCTCCAGGCAGGGAGACTTCACCCATTTCTGAGGTTGAGTAATAAGAAATGTTGGCAGATGCCAAAGAGAGACTTAGTCATTTTCCCCAGGCTCAGCCTTGGCTATGTAATGCTGAGCCATGCTGAAGGGTACTTCCTTCCCTCCCTCCCCCCCTCCCTCCCTTCCTTCCCTTCTCTCTTTATTTCTTCTCCCCCTTTCTCCTCCTCTCTCCCTCTCCTTCTCTCCCTCCCTCCCTCTCTTCCTTCCTTCCTTCCTTTATTATTTAATTGGATAGTTTAACCCATTTACATTTATTGCAATTTCTTTTCTTTTTTTGGTAACAGCTTTATTGAGATATAATTCACATACCATACAATTAACTCATTTAAAGTGTACAACCATCACCACAATTTTAGAACATTTTCATAGTTTCAAAAAGAAACCCCATATTGTATCCTTTAGCTATGACTCCCCAACTCTCCCATTCCCCCAGCCTTAAGCAACCACTAATTTACTTTCTGTCTCTATGGGTTGGCCTACTCTGGACATTTCATATAAATGGAATCATATAATATGTGGTCTTTTGTGTCTGGCTTCTTTCACTGAGCACCATGTTTTCAAGGTTTATCCATGTTGTAGCATGTATCAGTACCTCATTCCTTTTTATGGACAAATAATGTTCCAGTGTATGGATATACCACATTTTGCTTATCCATTCATCAGTTGATAGACATCAGGATTGTTGCCACCTTTTGGCTATTATGAATAATGCTACTGTGAACATTCAGCATAAGTTTTTGTGTAGGCTTATGTTTTCATTTTTTTTGGATATAGATCTAGGAGTAGAATTGCTGGGTCAAATAGTAACTCTCTATTTAACCTTTTGAGGAACTGCCAGACTGTTTTTCAAAGTGGCCGTACTATTTTACGTTCCCAGGGTTTCGATTTCTCCATATCCTTGACAACACTTGTTATTACCTGTCCTTTTGATTATAACCATCCTAGTGGGTGTGAAGTGGTAACTCATTGTGGTTTTGATTTGCATTTCCCTAATGACTAATGATGTTGAGCTTCTTTTCATGTGCTTATTAGCCATTTGTATATCTTCTTTGGAGAAATATCCATTCAAATAATTGCCCAGTTTTTAATTGGGTTATTTGTTTTTTTACTATTGTGTTGTAGTAGTTCTTTATATATTTTAGCTATAAGTCCTTTACAGATATGTGCTTTGCAAATATTTTGTCCATTCTGGGGATTGTCTTTCACTTTCTTGATAGTGTTCTTTGAAGCAAAAAAGTTTTAAATTTTGATGAAGTCCACTTAACTATGTTGCTACTCTGATTCAGCTCTGTATAATGTAGAGCTTCTCTCTGCCCAAATTTTCTGCCTTAACACACAGGAATGTCTATGTCAAAAGTATATCATATCTATGTATTTTTTCCTTTTTTGATTTCTCCATGGTATTGCAGCAGAAGCACACACAGGAATATGGAAAAATCTTCAAGTCTCACTTTGGTCCTCAGTTTGTAGTATCTATTGCAGACCGAGACATGGTGGCTCAGGTGCTCCGGGCGGAGGGGGCTGTGCCCCAGAGAGCCAACATGGGGTCCTGGCAGGAGTACCGAGACTTACGAGGGAGATCCACCGGGCTCATCTCGGCGTGAGTATGTGGGGCCAGACGGTGTCACTAGGGGAGTGGGGAGCTCAGGGAGACCTCCTCCCTGAATGCTGGGCTCCTAAAAACCAGCTTTTATTAAAGCACAGAACTCCCAGTGGAATAGTATCAAAATAGCCTCTTTATGTGATCTCCTAAACACAAGTGCCAGAGGGCCAGTCTGGGGCTCTCTCCCTCCTTCTCTGGGAAGAGCTTTGATGGCAGAGATGAGGTGGGAGTGGCGCTAGCAGAGTGATGGGGAGGAGCTGTTTCTCAAGCAATGCTTTGTGGCTTTAGGTGTCCATTCAGTGACAACCAAGGGAGCTGAAGTTCAGAGAGCCCATCTGTGGACAGGGGATGAGGGCGGTCAGCTGTTTTAGGAGGCCTCCAGGAGGGGCTGAGAACCTCCAGCATCAACTGCCATGTGATGATTTTCCTGTCTCGTAACAGACTATGATTATTATTTCTAAACAAGGTTCACTGACACCTTTGTGCCTTCCAAGAGCTAATCAGCACACTCCCAGGCAGGGAGGAGAACACGGAGCAGCTGCAGATCCTCTGGTCCAAATCCCTTTGGTTTAGAAACTCTATTTGTGGCTCTTTGATATATATGTTATTAAGCATGAACTGGGGAGAAATACAACTGTCAGTTTCTCAAATAAGGTAAATAAAAATTGTAATTGGATGTCACCAAGTTCCCTCAATTTCTGTCTTGAGAGAAATAATCAAACAGCTCCTCCCATTTGTCCAGCCCTAGAGGGGAGTGGCTGCATGGTGAGGCACAGCTCCCCGCGCCATCAACAGGCATCTGGGCACCAGCCACGGCCTTGGAGCTCAGGAGTTTATACATGTAAACTTTTTCCTCTTTTGCTAATCGGAGCAGTCTTGTGTCTCTTTATTATAATATTATTGCAGGGTTTTTCAAAGGAAATCGTATTACTTTTAATAAAGAGGATTCCCATTGACAATTTTTTCCCTTCAAGTTTGCTTCAAGGGCAACAGCTAAAGCTCTAACAGACTCCAAGGCCGAAGTCAGTCCTCTCTCCCTGAAGTGTCTTTCCTGTCTTCATTCCATTTGGATTGGCAGATCTGCTTGACTCTTGATGGCTGGGAAATTTTTCAGACGTTCCTGGAATTCCTTTCCAGAATGTCAATATAAGTAAGATGATTTGAAACCGACTTTATTCTTCTAGGGAGGGTGAACAGTGGCTCAAGATGAGAAGTATACTGAGACAAAGAATTCTGAAACCGAAAGATGTGGCCATTTTTTCGGGAGAAATCAATCAAGTAATTGCTGATTTAATTAAAAGAATCTACATCCTCAGGAGCCAGGCAGGAGATGGAGAAACTGTGAGCAGTGTCAATGACCTTTTCTTCAAATATTCAATGGAAGGTGAGGTGAAGTCAGGAAGTGGGAATGATGGAAGCGTGGGTCTTTGTCAGAAAACAGCAGTTCATGTTCCTTGAGCATTTCCTGTCTCCCAGGCCTTGTGCTAACCCTGTGCATACACACATACATCCAATCCTCTCAGTGCTACTGGACCAGGCATACCCTGCTGTTTTACAAATGGGAAACTGAAGACCTGCCCCCATTTTTAGTGACAGAAACTTAGTTTTAAATCCAGGTCTTTTTAACTCAAGAACCATGCTCCTAATTACTACACATTTTGTTTTAGCACAATTTTAAAAAAGCGACAGAAATTTAGAGGGCATCTACTACAAAGTCATTTTAGCTTTTTTTTTTTGTGAGGAGATTGGCCCTGAGCTAAGATCTGCCACTCCTCCTCTTTTTGCTGAGGAAGACTGGCTCTGAGCTAATATCCATGTCATCTTCCTCCACTTTATGTGGGATGCCACCACAGCATGGCTTGCCAAGCAGTGCGTCAGTGCATGCCCGGGATCCGAACTGGCGAACCCCGGGCCGCCGCAGCGGAGCACACGCTCTTAATCGCTTGCCCCAGCGGGCCGGCCCCATCATTCTGGCTTTTTAAATTCACCTTGCATGGGTTGTCCATTCCTGTGGTTCAAAAATCAAACCGAAAAAGTATTCATGGAAAAGTCTCCCTCTCTCCCGACCCAGCTAGGTCACCAGTTTCTTATGTATCATCGAGAGATATTTTATGTACATACAAGGAAATACACGGGAATATTCTTTTTACTTAAAAAAAAAAAAAGAAATGGTAGCATACCAAACGTTTTGTTCTGTACCTTGCTTTTTTCGGAGGACCTATCAGCTTTCTCATTCTCTCTTTTTTTTTTATGAGTTTCCCTTACTTCAAATTTAACTTTTTAAGTTAACTTTTTAAAGTTCTAATATTAATGCTTTCTAAAAATAGTAACAAAATCAACAGAGAAGTGAGTTGTAAACACACTGGAAAATCCTGCCCTTCCATGATCCATTGAGGCTGTTTCCTCTGCTTCTGTAGCTCTCTGGGCCTGGGGTCCCCACTCTGTGGCCAAGAGGAGTCACGTTTCAATTCCCCAAGGCTGGGCAAGGGGCTGGGACATTGGGGTTTTGCCTCGTGGGTCTTGAAAGAAACTGTTGAGCGGAGGGTGATCGGCAGAGCAGGGCCAGGCTGGAGAGGCCTGCCATCTGTCAGCCCTGAATCACACTGCCCTGTAGCTCAGGGCGTCACGGAGGAAACCTTGGGGGATAGAGCACAGGCCCCACTCACAAAAGGCACCTAGATTGCTTTAGAAAATTACTTATATGGCCAGATACTGAGTATTGATACTGTCAGTAATCTAGAAGAAGGCTGTTTTTAAACTCTCTTTCCCGTGCAGGAGTGGCCACCATCCTTTACGAGAGCCGTTTGGGCTGCCTGGAGAACAGCATTCCGCAGCTGACAGTGGACTACATTGAGGCCCTGGGGCTCATGTTCAGCATGTTCAAGACCTCCATGTACGCAGGCGCCATCCCCAGGTGGCTCCGCCCGCTCATCCCAAAACCCTGGCGGGAATTCTGCAGGTCCTGGGATGGACTCTTCAAATTCAGTAAGAGAAGACTTGAGGGGCACCTTTTGTAGAACCAGCTTGACTTGCCTTTACCACTTGTGGCCTATCTAACCTCATGAGGACAGTGGGTATTAGGGAGAAGATGACCCGATGTAGTTACATGTTGTTATTTGGACTCACGCACTTTTAGATTGGCTTCTCGAATGAGCAAAAAGCATGTGAGTTGTCACTGTAAGTAACATGACCTATTTCTCTCTCTTTTTTATTTTTTTGGTGAGGAAGACTGACCCTGAGCTAACATCTGTTGCCAATTCTCCTCTTTTTGCTGAGGAAGGTTGGCCCTGAGCTAACATCTGTGCCAATCTTCCTCTACTTTATATGTGGGATGCTGCCACAGCATAGCTGACGAGTGGTGCATAGGTCCGTGCCCGGGATCTGAACCTCTGCACCCCAGGCCGCTGAAGCAGAGTGCTTGAACTTAACCACTAAACCACCGGGCCAGCCCTGAGATTTCTCATTTTTAAATTATTTTTATTTTAACAAACATGCTGCCAGTGATATATGCAAATAAATGTTGTCTCTGGGAGATGGTGTCCTTAGTCCAATAATTCTGTCATTACTTAAAATGCAGAGGGAATTTCAGGCCTGTGCACATTCATTTGAACATTCTCAATTGCAGCTTTTTAGAAAGAGACAAATTCATTTATTTCTTACCTGGTGAAAACAAGCCAGGAGAAACCATTTTGTTCAAACCAAAGGTGAACCTACAAAGCAAGATTAGTTTTCTTATGTGGCTAAAAATTTTACTATAAGAGAATTTCCAAAAAGGAAAAAAAAGATTTCCAAAATATTTAGAGCAATGCTAACATTGAAAGAAGTGTCCCATGGTATCTTTTGAAGGTCAGCATTCATTTGATATATGGGTTCTGATGAAAATAATATGCTTGTATCTTTTTATGGTACCATCTCAGATAATAATGCATGGCCTTTTCCTCTCAGTTCCTTCTACCTTTTGGAAGTGAAGTGGGAGAAAAAGGAATCTGTAGTCTTGTTACTCCAGACCTTTTTTGGCTACTTGATTAGTAAAGCAAACATTTGCAAATATCTTATAGATTATTTTTTAAAAGGAAGAGATATTTAGCTTGTCTTTAACTTTTCATTCATTTATACAAACAAGTGTCTGGATGAAGTTCTGAGGTTGACAATAAGTCAGTCTGGGTTTGTTTAGCTTCTGAACCTGCCACAGAAGAGGGAATCGAGACTGAAGAGATTATTAACGAAAACTTCTTTCAAAAGAAATACTGTTTTCAAACAGGCCAAATCCATGTTGACAACAAGCTGAGAGACATACAGTGCCGCGTGGACCGAGGGGAGAGAGTGAGAGGGGGGCTGCTCACATACCTCTTCCTCAGTCAGGAGCTGACGCTGGAGGAGATCTACGCCAATATGACTGAGATGCTGCTGGCTGGCGTCGACACAGTGAGTGGGTTGGTTTTTCTCTTTTCTCAGTAAGCAAAGCACAGTTAAATCCAGTGGCCTTTCCGAGTAACCTGATGGTTACTTTAACAGTACATACACATTTGCACTAGCTGAACATCTGCTTTGCTGCTGAAAGTCTCTGGGAAAAAACTCTACCCTTTTTTTTCCCACAGGTATAAAATGTAAAACTAAGGTGCACAAGAATTCTGTAAAAAATGTAACCACAATTCCATTATCACACACACAAAGTAACAATATGTTTTAAAGTTTAAAAATCATTCCTGATTTGCAAACATCGTCCATTGTTTAATAATATCAGAAATGAAGAGGGCACAGACATTAAAAACCTTATTATTTATCATTTAAAATATTCCTGGCCATGGAGAACTCCCCAATTCATTTTATAAAGGAAGCATAACTTTAAAACCTAAATCTGCTAAAGAAAGCATTAAAGAAAGAAAAGTTTAATAAACAGTTTGACTTATGAGTATGTGTATCAACTTTAAATAATATCCTAGTGAGTAGATTCAGGGGCCGGCCTGGTGGCATAGTGGTTAAGTTTGCACACTCTGCTTCGGCGACCCGGGGTTCGTGGGTTCGGATCCCAGGTGCAAACCTACACCACTCGTGAGCCATGCTGTGGCAGCAACCCACATGTAAAGTAGAGGAAGACTGGCACAAATGTTAGCTCAAGGCCAATCTTTCTCACCAAAAAATAAATAAGTTAAAAAAATCCTAGTGAATAGATTCAATTATTGTAGCCGATGAATAATATACTATGACCAAGGAGGGCTCAATATCAGGAGGAAATGAAGCACTGCTGATTGACTTAAAGGGAATTCCATACCTGACAGTTAAGTGAGAAATGAAGATGTGGAAAAATGTGTATACTGTGTTCCCATTAGTAAAATAAACAGTGGCCCCACCCCACCTGTCCCCGTGCACGTGCCTGTGTGTAAGTGATTGCATGACCATGGAGGGGAGGATGGAGGGTGCATACTAGACTGTTAACGTTGGCTGGGGGTCAGGGGGTACGGGGGCCATGGGAGCCAAGTCCCCTCCCATGTACAATATGATACATTTATTCATGGATGAAAAATGATATACATGTGGGTATAAGTACAGAGAAATTGTAAAATTTTCTAAGAGGAGGTGTGAAGCAGCACAAGCAGGGCCCAGCTCTCAGTAACGGGGGAAGAGGTCAGGGCAGTGGAATAAGGAAGGCTTGCCCACTGCCTTACGGTTCCCAGCCCTTCAGAGCTGAACAGCTCAGCCTGTCGCCTCACAGCTTCTCCTTGACGCCACTGCTTCATGAATTTGAATAAGGCACAGAGCTCCTTTTTAAAGGGGGAAAAACCCTAGGGCTGACATTATTTTTATGACAATGTCACTTAAACATGTAAAAGCACAAAAACTTAATATACACTCCTTATGGATCTTCTACAACAATAAAACAAAAAGTATATAAATTAAATGCAGACTAATGGATGAAATCGATGCAGTCAGTGAAGATTCTAATTAGCTATGTGGCTGTGATGGGTGGTGTGGGTTTGTTGACTAGAGAAGGAGTGATTGAATGAATGGCCTTGTCTCTAAGCTGATTTGGACACACTTTCCTCCTGCCCCCTGGTGGAAACTGAGAGCATCGCCATGAGTTCTGCGGAAAGGACCTGTTCCTCAGAGAGAAGCGATGCAAGGAACATCAGGAGACAAAGTCTTACAATTCCATATTCACTTTTTAAGTGTAATTTTTAAAAATCAACTTGCTTGCAGTATAATTTATGCACAATAAACTGCATCCATTTAAACCCTACAATTCAACACAGATTGTTGACAGATGCAATCATTTATGAAAACACCACCACGATCAAGAGCCAGAACATTTCTACTACCCCTGGAGTTTCCTCACCCCCATTTCAGCCCATCCCTCCTGATGCCCCCACCTCAGGCAACCACTGATCTGCTTTCTGACACTGTACATCAGTTTGCATTTTTCTAGAAATTTATATAAATGCAAACATACAACATGTATTTTGCATCTGGCTTTCTTCACTCAGCAAAATGATTTTGAGATTCATCCATTTGTTGCATATGAAAGTAGTTTATTCTTTTTTGTTACTGAGTAGTATCCCATTGTATGGATATACCACATTGAGTTTTTCTGCAAAAATGTGATTTTAATAGAAATTTTCTGTTCTCTTAATAGGAAGCATCTAAATTATTTCCTTATCATTTATAAGGAAGAGCTTACACATTATATTACATATTACAGGAGAGCTTGCCATCTAAAAACATATAAGATCTATTAAGGGAAACGATATCAATATGGCCTACTTATGTTAGATTTTGTTTTTAGATGAAAGAAAGAGCATTTATTCTCTGGGATTTCCTTGTTTATAAGAGAGTGAAAATAGTCACATAGGTAATAGTATTGATTTTAGTGAAAAATCTTGGAACCTAGGAGAATAAAATAGAATTATTCTCAATAACCAGAAATGTAATTCTTCAGTCTGAGAAGTGGCAGAAAAATGACGCCGCTTTGCACAAATGAGCTGTCACTCCTGATGTGTTGCTGTACTTGATACGTGTGAGGGAGGATGGGTAACGGATAATCTTTTCATCACCAGCCCCACCCCCTCTAGATGAGGGAAACCAGCACAGGCCCAGCCCAGCCCTGATGGCCTGCAGGATGCCAGAAGATCAGACAGCCTCAGGCCCTTTCTAGCAAAAACCGGATGACCCTTGCAAAGAAGGTCACAGAAAGTTCCAAGCACAGCCTCCAGGCTTGACCAGCAACCTCGAATCCTCTCAGTCTCCACTGAAGAGGAGGCAGATTGCTTGTAAATGGTTAAAAAAAGTTCCAAAATAATTTTCCCTGTGGCTCTTCACTGAAATAGCACTTGAATCACATAGTTGATGTTACTTTCCGAAAATATTTGTTTTTTTCTGGCATGAATTAAGGAAAATAATCTGTTTTGGTAAGACATAAAATGCTCCGATAGACGTGTGAATGTGACGTCACGCCTGACGTAGTCCGCTGCTTCCTGCTTGTTTCCCTCACCACGTGCCGTGTCCGCCTGTTGCTCCCTTAGACGTCGTTCACGTTATCCTGGGCGGTGTATCTCCTTGCCAGGCACCCGCAAGTGCAGCAGACTGTGTACCGGGAGATAGTCAAGAATTTGGGGGAAAGGCATGTTCCAACGGCTGCAGATGTCCCCAAAGTCCCGTTGGTCAGAGCTCTGCTTAAGGAAACCTTGAGGTAAAAGGCTCACCAAAATTCATGTCGAAAACTGTGTCCTTTAAGTCTGATTCTTTATCATAACAATTGCTCCTTGACTTAAAAACTGGATCCTAAACAAATGCTCCACTGCCCTCAGAGGCTGAAATGTTCAGGAAGGAGATGTTCGTAACTCTCTTTATTTCCCCTCTGCCCTTGTCAGAATAGCAGGAAGCCTCTTCTGTTGTATGGTTTGAGACATTCATTTCTTTATAAAGATCTTTGGAGCCATCCTCTTTGTACCTGCTTTAGTCAACTGGCTCATCAAGTGTTTCCCAACATGCTCCTCTGAAGATAAAGCGGAAGAAGACTGATTTGTCAGGAACATATTTTGAGCTGTTTGGCTAATTACCAGACTTGCTTACACAATTCTGTGGTTCTTGTGTGGACATCCTAGTTGGGTTGGAGACACCAAATAGTGAGGCTCATTTACTCCTGGTCAGGGCTTTCCTGACACTCAGAAAAGCTGGAGCCTGAGGGATATGGGTGGCTGTGGGTGGCTTGGGTGGGAGTGGGATTACGTGAGTGGGGAAATTCCTCTGAGGTTCCGGGATCCAGAACACAGCGTTCCTCTGTGGAGGGAATGCCCTGCCAGGGAGCAAAGGCCATTTACACAGTATACACTAAAATAATTCTTTTAAACTTGACTTGATAATGATTTTCAAGTTGTATTGCATCCTCAATTGACAGCATGCTGTTTAATCTCAAAAAAAAAAAAAAAAGCTAGTTGTGTTTACTGTTATTTGTCAATTAGTTGTATTCACAGTTTTCTCAGGGTCGCTGCTCTGCGACAACCTGAAAGTTGAAGCATTTCTCAAAATGTGCTTCCTCCAACGCTGAGTCCTATGAACTTCTTTCTTGATAGAAGGTCCCATGCACACAGATCTCAGACAGGTGGAATTACTCCTCCTGGCACACCGCAGCGTGTCAAAGCCTTTGCTTTGCGGTCCGTGAGCTTTTCTGATGGTGACTTTTCTCACCTTCCCCAGGGTCCTCACCCGGCAGAGCTAAGAGTCACGAGGGTCCTTGCAAGATTTCTTAGTTGAAACCGTACTGTGTGTTACATTTTAGAAAATGAAGATGGCAATATACCCAGACTTTTAAATGTTTAGTAATATATTTTAAAAGTCACCTCTCCATTCCCGTTGGCTCCTTTCCAGGCTGTTTCCAGTGCTGCCGGGGAATGGCCGCGTCACCCAGGAAGACCTGGTTGTCGGCGGGTATCTGATCCCCAAAGGCGTGAGTTTGTGGACATGGGTGGGGAGTTGGGCTGTGCAGTGGTGGATGAATTGGAAATCTGCTTGTGTGTTTAGGAAATCCTCGTACCTAAGCAACTATCAATGGGTTTCCTTTTCTTCGGCATATATTTAACGATGAAGATGGGGTTTTGGGGCAAGGAGGTGAACTGTGTGATATGGCTCGAGCAGAAACAAGGCCAGATATTTCTGTAGCTTACAGGCCAACCCCCCTCCCCCCCCCCTCCCCAGAGGCCCCCTGGAAGCAGCACTTCCCCTCCCGGGAGTGTCGGGCGCTGATGGCCTCTTGGGCCCTCACGTGGCTCCTCGTGGTCAGAAGCTCCTCTGGAGGGGCGTCCAGCTAGGGCTCTTGCCTCAGCCCTGCTTTCGCGTGATCCCCTTCTTTGTTCTTTTTCTGCTGAAAATGGTCTCAGACCCAGCTGGCCCTCTGCCACTACGCCACATCCTACGAGGATGCGAACTTCCCTCGGGCCAAGGAGTTCCGGCCAGAGCGCTGGCTGCGGAAAGGAGGCCCGGACCGAGTTGACAACTTCGGGTCCATCCCCTTCGGCTACGGGGTTCGGAGCTGCATCGGGCGGAGAATCGCCGAACTGGAGATCCACCTCGCCGTGATCCAGGTAGCGCGAGGACCGCGGCCTCTCTTCCTGGGCTCGCCTGGGGCCAGGCTCGGGTCAGACAAGGGAACGTGACTCTGAAGACGTGAGGGCGAGAGCTTCCCGGGAATCCTTTCCGAGAAGCGCCACCGCGCCGTCGCGTCTTGGGCCCCTGGCGCCCGCCTTCTCTGTCCTCACCCGAATGGCGTGGGCAGAAGTTAGAGCCGTGCCCCCCGCGCCGGCCCCTCTGCACGCCCTGTTTACGGGAATCGGCCGTTCGCTCGGGGAGCTGCTTCTCAGGCTCGTTTAGCTTGCACAACACCAGGAAGGCTTGGTTTTCGTTAGAGAATACCTATGTGCTAATCTCTACACAGTAAAATAGATACTTTTGTGCTTATTAGGTATCTGAGTTCAGGCTGTAGCAGGAACTAAATAATGTCGGAAGGAAATTTTATAAAAGAAAACCCTATAGTAGAGAAAATACTACCCATTAGCCTTTCGGCAGTTTGGGAAGACTACCACTAACCGTGTTCGCCATGGAAAGCCTCGGCCCAAGGTTGGGGAGCTACTGTCGTTGGCTCCAAGCGTGGGAAGGACATGGGGATTACTGGTGCCCCAATCTCCCCATTTTACTGATGAGGAAACCGAGGCTCAGAAAGTTGGGGACACGGCACAGTCGCAGAGTGGCAGGTGCAGGGCAAGGTGTCTTGACCCCTTCCTGCATTTCCCCCACACGTCATGGAGGAGCTTTCCTGCAGGCCCGCAGAGCTTAGAGCCGAGCACTGATGGGTGGGACCTGATGGAAGATGGCGTGAGAGGCGCAAGGGACCGGGGAAGCCTGGCCGGCCTGGCAGGGGCGGAGACGGCTCCGGGTGGCCGGCACTGGGGGAAGGCCCTGAGGGCTGGGGAAGGGGAGGGGCTCCTGCCCGGGGAGGAGGGCGCGGAAGGAGGCGTGGGGAGCACCTCGCTGGGGTCGGGCCGGCTCTGGTGGAGGGCGGCTCGTGGCCCGGCCGGACTGCGCGGGGTGGCGTGCGGACACCCCGCTCCAGGCCCAGCGCTGACGCTCTCCGGCGCCGACGCCTCGGGCCGGCCTCCGGGCGGCGCTGCGCCTGTGTCCTCGCCCGCACCGCGGGCCGAGTCCCCGCCGGGCGGGCGTGCGCGGAATCGAGGTCTGAACTCAGATACCTAATAAGCACAACCCCCCCCCCGCGCGGGGGCCGTGCCGCAGCGACGCTGCTGTCCGCGCCTGCTCCGTGTGCCCCGAGCGCCTTCTGCAGGGGCTGCGGCTCCGCCACAGGCGGCGGCCACGGCCCACAGAGAGCCATTCGGACAGCCGTGCAGGCGTCTGCTTCCTGGCTCCGACTGCCCGAAGAGGCGGAGAGGACAGCCGGAGCGACAGGGCCAGCCGGGCGCTGCTGCGGGAGGGCGCAGTCGGAAGAGCGTCAGGAACGGGGTGTTGCGTGGTGGTGGGGGGTTTATTTGTTTGCTGCTGTTAACACACGAATGTGCCTGCCTGAGTTTTTACTTAGAGTCCTAATTTCTCCTCTGCAAGTGTAGAAAGGGAGCATCATTATTTGTAATTGCTGAGAAAAAAAAAAGGCAGAAATAAACAGTACTAGGAATGAGAAAGGAGACAGAACTACAAATGCAGTAGGAGATTTTTTTGTCAAGAAAATACTACAAATAGCTTTTTTGCCAGTACATTTGAAGACATAAAATGTACAGTTGACTAGAAAAATGTAAATTACCCCATCTGACTCCAAGAGAATAGACCTCAGATATGAAATACATTGAGTCAGCAGTAAAAAGATCCACCTCGGGAGTGTTCCAGACCTAGACAATTTTATTGGCAAGTTTTATCAAACCTTCAGTGAAGGAGTAGTCATCATCTTATACAAACAGAGAATAGAAAAAGGAAGTCCCATTTTTATGAGACTTGCATAACCTTGATATTTAAAACCTAGCAGGGATAATATGAGAAAGGAAGACTACAGGCTAACCTGATTTATTAACAAAGGTAAAAAATATCCTAAATGAAAAATTGGCAAACCAGATCCAGCAATGTATGAAACAGAAATGCATCCTCACTGAATCAGGTGTATTCAGGAATGCGAGGATGGCCCACCTCAAGAAAGTCTGTCGATATAATTCACCACAATGACAAATTAAAGGAGAAAATATGGCCACCCCCCAAATAATTGATAAAATCCAACACCCACTCACGAAGACACCCTCTTAGCAGACAGTAATGGAGGAGCTTTCCTTAACCACATCAATGGTGTCTTCTCCAGCAGAGCAGCGAACCTGCCTGTGGGACCTGAGGAGGATCAGGACGGCTTAATTGCTGCAGCGTTAACCATGTTTCCTTAAAATCACGAATGAGATATTCATATGGCACTGAGAGCGTTTAGAAGGTTACTCCAGCTTCTTGGGAGCTGTAGACTTGAGGTGGAAGAGGGGGCTTTGTTTTTTGTATTTACGTCTCCTGTGTAATTTTGGTTTTTCAATGAGCATGTGCTGCCCACTCAGCAAAAAAGACTGTGTGGCACGTTGGCCTTGAAGTGGGAAAACCGATGTGTGAGTTCTCCTTCTGCCACGTGGGAATGTGCCAGTAGTTCTAGGAGGTCAGAACAAAAGGTCAGAGGTTGGATGTGTAGATGAAGCCATCTCAATGCCAGGACATGGTGGAGCGGCCTAAATACAAGTCATTCAGTTTGTCGCTTTAACAGGACGAAGTGATGAGCTCAGCCTATGTCCCCATTGCAGCCCTGCCCCCTGCTGACCCCCCTAGAGCCCCAGCTCACCCGAGGACCCATCAGTGGGTCCTCCTTCGTTGCCTGGGAGATGAGGCTGGTGAGAGAGTCAGGTGGGGTAGGGGCTGGGCAGCCTGGATCACCTGTGACAACAGGTGTTCTCCACACCTGACCCTCTGTTAGGTGGTTGGGGCAGGGGAGGGATCAGCAGCCAGTGTGCCACCTGGCTTGGGGGCAAAGCACTCCCTCCCGTCCAGGAACCCATGCAGGTTTTGACAGAGGTCTTCAGAGCAGGCTGCCCTTTGTTCCTTAAGCCCAGGGTGACTTTGAACCTCAGGCCATGGCCAGCTGGTGGGGAAATTGTCACTTTAGGCTGATGGTGTTCATTAAACCCATTGTTGAGGTACTTTCCAGCAGGCAGGGCTGGTTCTCCTTTTGAACTTCGGAAATCAGAAATGGAATAAAAACTACAAATGAGGACTGTTTAAGGACGTTAACAGATGAAGTCCGTGGGGACATTCACCTCCTTCCAACAGCTGTACCCTTGATGTGCCTGCATCGCTTCTGAAGGGGCTGCAGATCCTGAACCAGCAGGAGACCTGGAATTTCACTTTGTTCTTCTTTTCTCCTTGGCCTTTGATTCCTTCTTTATCTAGACCTATAGTGGAAGCATTAGGGTTAGAAGTTTGAAATGCCTAATAAAATGTAAGTCGTTTGAATACGCTGCCTGCATATCTTGGTGACACCAGCTTCACAGTTGCTCAGTGACATGCTGGGCTCTTGTCCAGGCCCTAGTGCTCTGCTTTCACATGCCCAGCATCCCCCTGCCCGAGGGAGTCGCTGTCCTCCAACACCGGCTCTTCTCTTCTCGGCTCCCTGCAGCCCGGGGCCGCGGTAAGAGGACTGAGGAGCCCTGGGAATCTTCTGCTGTCCCGATTTAAATCCCTTCGCTCTCTTTCTCTTCTCAGTTGCTTCAACATTTTGAGATCAAAACACCTCCTTGGACTACAGCTGTTTCTGCAAAAACCCACGGGCTTCTGACTCCAGGGGAGCCCATCCACGTGCGTTTCGTTAACAGAAAGTGAGCCTGGATTTTTAAATCCAGCCAGCGGACTGACACACTGCGTGTTCATGTGTCACCGATCGCGGCGCGGAGGAGATGATCCCGTTCAGAGGCTGTCTTGGTTCTAAACTGGCCTCACAGGTTCTGGAAGACTTGTAAATCTTTACACCAAGTAACGTGAAAAGATTGTTATTCTACTTCTGCATACCGGAGTTGCCTTTTCTTTGGGGAAACAACAGTTTAAAACCCAGTGACACTGAATTCTCGTGTCTCATATGTTGTCTTACCTTGCGCTATACCTGATAGAGTCTATACTAGATAGTATTATATAGTATATAGTGACCAAAAGTCTGTACATTTATTTGTGCAAGGAAGTGTTGGTTTACTTATAAATTCAGTGCTTGACTATATGTTCTCGAACACTGCATCAGCCTCCGTGCTAGGAGGCAGTTTCAACTTCTTATTCTCACGTGAAGAGGGAGCGTTCAGGGAGCCTCTGGAACGCTGTAAGCACGGGAAGAAAGCGCGGGAAGAAAGCGCAGAGACGATGCCATCTGAGCACCAGGTGTCGATTCTGCAGCGGGGCTCCAGTTAAAAGGACCAGATTCTTATTTTTCTCTCCAAACTTGTGCTTCCTTTTCTAGTCATAGCTTCTAAAGAAGTTGAATATTAGTTTTAGTTTGAAAGACATAATCAATAGAAAATAAAACTCCTGGTGAAATCAAGAATAATCAGATTTTCTAACCAAATCTAAATACTAAGCAGATTGCATGAGAACTGAAAATCGGACTATTGAGGAATTTCATTGCCTCAGCTGAAAAAAAGGAATTAAATAAGCATCGGGTAAAACAGTGTAACTTTAGAACATTTTTATTTCAAGAAAAAATAAATATGTAAACGGACATGCTGTAGATGAAATAATGTTTTTATCTTCATAGTGTTATTTTACATTTCCACATGGGCCCTGCGATACAGCTGCTGCTCGTGGCTCCCGGCCCGGGGGCGCTCAGGAGGGCTCCGTCTGGCCAAGTCCTGTTGCCTTTCAGGCCACTTGCTGGTCGCTGATAAGAAAAAACACAATTTTATGATGTTATCTCAGCACCTCCGTGCTTGAAACCTCTTATTCCCAATCCCGTAATTCTTTCTACGTAATCCTTACCCCAAAACCACTTTCCTACTAACATATACTGTAAATCTTTTTTCTCCTCTTTGGTCATTCTGCAAAGTAATTCTTAAATAACATAGAAGTAATATCCATTTCACATACCATTTTTGTTAAAGTATATAACAATGTTGAAATGTTTGTGTAATGACAGAATAACTCTAGTGTGAGTGCTATAAAAATATGTACAGTTAAATATGAAATTGTGTTATTAACATAAAATGTTGGATTACTTTGAGGGAGCAGTATGTACATTAACTTTTATAACTAGATACTTTTATAACTATACTGTCTGAGACTGAAATTAAAATATATTGAGACTAACTAAGCAACTTGAAATGACCTCTTATTCTACACTGCAACCCTCTAATGAGTGGGGCACGGGGTGACGAGCTCAAGTGCAGGTCGGGGGCACTTGACCAGCCCCCTGTTCAGTCTCCGAGAACAGAGGAGCAGATATTAGGAGCCTCCTGATGTGATCAATGGGAAGAACATGGCACCAACTATGAAGCCTTCTTACCAAAGAATTTTAAATTGAATTGGGTAAGTCTCTAGATCCACTACCAGTTTATAGGAAATACAGGGTATAGAGGGACGTGTTAAAACTCGGTATGGATGCAATCACCAGAGTATAGCAAAGTCTACAGGACAAATAACTCGGTTTTTTCAACAAGTAAGTGACAAGAAAAAAGAAAAAGAGGAAGGGGAGCTATTCTAGATTGAAAGAGATTTAAGAGACATATTAACCACATGCAGTGCTGGACTTGGTTTGAACCTAGATTCAAATAAGCCACTTATAAAGAGACACTTAAAAGATAATTAGGGAAATTTGAACACTGTGTATTTGATAATATTAAGGAATAATTGTTAATTTTGTGTGTGTGATAATGGTAGTTATGTTAAAAAGAGAGAGATCTTATCTCTTGGAGATATCTCTGAAAGATATGAATATGTAATGTTTGTGGATGGAATGTTATGGCATCTTGGATTTACGTTAAAATAACCCAGCTGTGGAGGGTGGTCGTGTGTGAGGTGGGTGGGGTGTAGGGGAGGAAGAGGCGAACCAAGAGCCGCCCAACGTTGATGATTGTTGAGGCTGAGTGACGCTACGTGGAGGACACACGACACTGTTCTCTCTACTTTGTGTGAACATTTCCATAATAAAATGTCTTCAAAAACCAAAGACTTGATGGATTAATAATCTCATAGTTCATTTCTTTTTCATTGCTATTCACAAACCGACAAAACTGACCATAAATTCTTTCTGGAGCTATCCCTTCTCTTTCAATAATTGTTGTTAGAAATTATTGGTTTAACTAACTGTAGTTCAACCGTTGTGCTAGGATTTGGGTGGCCTGTCAGACAGGGGTCAGCCGGCCTTCATAGCTGAGGACAAATCCAGAGATGTCAGTAAGGAAAGGAGGAGTGAGGCCAGGCACTGTAACCAAGGAGGGGACTTATGTGGGCAAACCACTGGGTGGAAGACAATAGAGAGTGGTGGGGTCTGTGGAGTGTGCTCCCTACCTGCCGGTTTTCAAACTCCATTTCTAAAAATGGGCTGGTTAAATAGAAAGCATCAGCAACTGGCCAGGTCTGAGAGATGGCCGAGGCACAGGGTACACCAGTGAGAATCTGGACCCAGCATGGGGAAGTGCCCAGCACGATGCTGCTCCATAATCCCCCTCTCGGCCAAGGTGGCTGTGCCCGTGGGCCATTCACTAAAATGAAGGAAAAGCTGGGCAGCCAAGTACCAGGAAGGACTATCTGAGCCGAGCCTTGGCTGCAGGATCTGGAGCAACCACTTCTCCAGCTCAAGGTTCACGTTCCTTGAGGCATTCAACTGGCTACGCCTGTGATTGACAGGTGCCCTGACCAAAGGAGAGAGCGATGCTGAGTGGGTAAACCAGAGCTGCCACCAGGACAGCATCACCAGTAACTCGTGCTGGGCAGTGCGTAGGGTGAGACAGAACAACATACCCTCTGTCACTGCTGTCCCTTTGAACCTGTTCTGTGGTCATTTCTAGCCTACATTGCCCCTCTTTCCCCCCTTCAGATGAAATCTTGCACAATTTTCGATTTTAGGTCACTCCTAGAAAAGAAAAAATCTCCAATTACTGTTAGCCACCATAACATTCTCATTTAATAATGAAGATACCCAGTCCAGTGTAAATAAAATGTCTCTGAATTAAAAAAGTCAGCCTCCCCCCCACCCCTCCCACCGCCCAGTTCTGGACAGCCCAGGCTGGAATCCTCTGGAGGGGAGGGGCAGGTTGGCTTCTTCTCTATCTTCTGCCTGGTCCTCCCCCTTCCCTCCCCAGCCCCACTCCCACCAAGAGGCTGTGCAGCTCCTCTGGGATTGGACCTGGCCGGGAGGGTGTGGGGTGGTGGGAATGGTGCTCCTGACTGACCATGAGGTCTGGCATTAGACCCTGGGCGGATACGCAAAGCTGCCTCTCCCTCCTTTGAGGTTCCCTTAAATGGAGAACCTCCAATGGTACTTCCCAAGAGACAGGCAGCGCCTCGCCTGCAGGTGGCTTCTCATGACTGCCCCCTCAGCCTGTGGGCGTCCAGGGGCCACTTCCGTCTGGGGAGCATGGCCCCTCCAAGCTCTCCTCTCGGGCAGACTCTAACCCCGCCTGACTCCCTGTTGTCCCCACGGGCGGTGGGTGTAGTTTCCTCCCGCGTGTCCGGTCTGGCGTGGGGGGTCTTCCACGCGTGAGCCGGGCACCGGTCTCTGTACCCCGCAGACTCCAGGCGCGGAGGTCAGGCTCCCTCCGAGTGGCTCTGAAAGCCCGTCACTCACTTGGGGTGAGGGGTAGCCCTCAGGCTGTGTCGAGTGAGGGGGGCACGTGGGGTACTTGCCACCCGCGGCTGTGTTTGCAGCCTTCGGAGCCTCGGCTGAGGAGAGACGGAGTCCCGTGTGGACGTGCTGGTGCCTCGGTCGCAGCTCCTCCCCACGGAGCTGGGGCCCAGCTTTGTCGTTCTCCAGGAAGCCGCCCGAACTGGTCCGAGCTGACACCGGGGACAGCACAGGCCCGCACTGGCAGCAGCTGCGGACGTGGAGGTCTGCACGGGGCTCTCTCCGTCTTTCAGACAAGAGTCTGAGCCGTCGCTCGAGTGGGTGACCTGAGCCCTGCCTGGAGTGGAGGGGGAAGGTGGCAGCTCCTGGCTGCTGCTTAGAGCCCCACCTGTTGTCATGTCTCCTAATTCTATGACCTTTTTATTGAAATTGCTAATTTAATTGTGTTATGATCTGTAGGATGTTGTTGAGACTTGCTTTGTGGCTGCATACAGTGTTAATTTTATTTTATTTTTTATTTATTTTTTTTTTTAAAGATTTTATTTATTTTATTTTTTTCCCCCCAAAGCCCCAGTGGATAGTTGCATGTCGTAGCTGCACATCCTTCTAGTTGCTGTATGCGGGACTCAGCCTCAGGATGAACGGAGAAGTGGTGCCTCAATGCGCACCCGGGATCCGAACCCGGGCCACCAGCATCGCAGCGCGCGCGCACTTAACCACCAAGCCACAGGGCCGGCCCCTACAGTGTTAATTTTAAAAAATGTTGCATGTCTGCTTGTTGGCTGCAGGGCTCCGCCTACAGCTTATTTTCCAGGCCTGGTATTGTGTTGTTGAAAACGTCTATATACTTACTAATGTTTGCCTGTCAGTTATTGAGAATGGAGTGTTAAGAATTCCCACTCTGGTTGTGGATTTATCCATTTTTGCTTACTGTATTTTGAGGTCCTCTTATTAGGAGCCTCCAGGGGCAGTTCTGGTCTGTCTCCCGGTGACCCGCTCTGTTCATCCTGAAGTGCTGACTCTCCATCCCTCCTGGGACCATTGCCTTAAAGCCCACTCTGATCTGACATGGATTTAGTTAGTCCAGCTTTATTTTATTTGCTTGGCATTTCTATTCTTTTACTTTCAGTCTTA